AAAGAAATTACCTTTGTTCTTTGAATGGGAAAATTTTCTCGCCTTCTTACGGTGCAATAATTTTTGAAGGGTAACAAAATCGGATAAAAAGTTAATAATAGTTATTAGCTTAGCAACACCTACGTGTACTTTTTGAATGCTATTTCATTATCAAGAGCGACCAGGGGTGGTTTAATGGTTTATAGAGTACTGTGGACAAACTTTGCTTTTCACACGCTTCAATTCTCGCTTTGTGTAATCGTTTCCAAGAAAAAATCTTTTAACGTATATATATCAAAGATATAAGATTCAACTTTTGCCTTTCGTATATCAGAGCTGGCATTTATGATATAATAGTGAGCGATTATTTGTTATTTAACCTAGGGTAGCGTGGCTCGCCATGAAGTGGTGCATCGTGGTTAGGAGTTTAGATTTAAAGAACTTCTTATATACAAATCTCGCTGCATCCAACGATTCATCAGTTCCAGTGCAAAGAATGTCAGCGTTAATGTCACAAAAATGTAATTCTAGTCTTTAATCAAGTACTGCCATGCCTTTGTATTACGTGTGGTTAATTCTTATATTTGTGATTCTCATAACAGGTTGATAATTGTAATGGTAATAATAATAATTATCATTATTATTGTTGTTGTCATCATCATCATCATCATCATCACTATTGTTGTTTGGGGAAGAAGCTGGGATGTCACATGGAAAGCTGGGGAAGAAACGGTGAGGCACACAGGACCGGAAAGCTTAGATTTACACTTGCCGATATTTTCCAGCAAATTTATATCAATAATAATAATACGTGATACGGTCACGCTAATCATTTAGATAATATATTACTTTGAAAATTAGAACAGGTGTTTCCGAAGACTATTTTATACAAAGGACCTTGAAGGCCCAAGAACATAGTTATTCCATTAATGGTACATTCTCTTCCTTGACACAGTTACTGTGTTCCTTTGGAATCTCACTGATCAGATTCCTGTGATGACTACTTTTACATTGCAATTTATGTATCCATTAAATAGCACAGTACAAAAAATCATAAAGTATTATTTGAAATAAATATCAGCAGTAGCGGTTCCTGACAGTCTTACGTAACACAGTATAACCAAATGCAGAATGCCCTTGTAAGGGACAGTGTCGCTGACCTTTCTCCTCTACCACATTTTTCCTTTCCTGGGTATTCTCTCCACGTACCCTCTGTATGACATCAATATCAAGAAATTTATCTGGGCATCAATATCACGTATAATCATAAATGTCGACATGACCTTTAGTCTTTGAAAGAGTGTTTCATAACCAGGTAATTTTTTTTTTTTTTTTAGCTATTATTCCGTATGAAATGCGATCAGAGTTATAAAGTTATTCATATTGCCTGAAGTAGTTAATTCAACCGTTCTTATTTATTGAAAATAACTGGTTATAAACACATAATTTGTGATAATTCTGCTGTAATAAACCATTCTGTTTGCGAATCACAGCAAACTAATTTCCGGTAATATTATCGAACTAATAATTTTACTTATCTACATTCATCTTGAGGTGCGAAAGGCAGTCACCTGTCTTAGGCTGATATATAAATATCGAAACTACCAAATAAATTACTAGACTGTTTATTTCTGTTTTAAGTGTTCAGCATAATAATATCAAATATAAGTGATACATAAATCCATCCATTAGTATATCTATGTACACATCCAAGGGCCCCCAAACCCAAAGATGTAACTGACGGCCTCCTTCAACAAGGCTTCAATACCAAATCGTCTACAATGGCAGTGGCAAAAATGCTCTACCACAAGAGGACTTCGAACCAGGACATTCGGGGTCCAAAGAGATAACCCGTAAATTCATCGTGCTCATGTCATGGTCAGTCATAAGGTATGCATGCATGACCTGTTTAGAAACCCGTTTCTAAAATTTCAACAGAGAGGTCCTTGGCATTTTGTAAGCTGGGCAGATGTCATGGGAAACTGCCAGTTACACTGGATCACAAACATTTACGTGTGTAAGCGTCTAACATATACAGATGTTTAAATTCAGCAATAAATAGTTCTTTATCTAGGAGCACATGTGATCACAATAAAAATTTAATAAGAATCATCAGTGTGAAGATAAGTCAGAATCCTCAGATTCCGATATCCGATAAAAATTTTACTAACTGTATTTGCATGTAGACCCTAGTAATCATATTGGTCTCTTTCCTTACTCTTCGGGAAACTGGTCATATACATATAAGTATCTAAATCAACTGTTAAATATATATATATATATATATATATATATATATATATATATATATATATATATATATAATATATATATATATATATATATATATATATATATATATATATACACACATATATATATACCACACACACGTGTGTGTGTGTGTGTGTGTGTGTGTGTGTGTGTGTGTGTGTGTGTGTGTGTGTGTGTGTGTGTGTGTGTGTGTGTGTGTGTGTGTGTGTGTGTGTGTGTGTGTGTGTGTGATTTGTTTTATTTTTTTAAACTTTCATACAGTTTAATCCGGTGAGATTTTTTTAGATATAGCCATGATTCACCAACTATATGCCAGGATATATGGATATACATTTGTTTTTATTTAATTTTGTTATTTCTGTGAATTTTCAGTGCTTCGTGTGATTCTCTACCGTGCTAATTCAGCTCAGGAAGTCGACTAGACCACCGTAAACCCATTATATGTACTTCTGGCAGAGACGGACTCATTGATTGGGGGCTGTTCATGTGGAGCAGGTACCTTGAACTTATATTTTGATAATCTGAGCAAACACAGACCCGGAGTTTTTTGTCCGTTTTTTTTCAGTATGCTGCAAAAAGATTTTTAAAATTTTCTTTGGAAGGTATCTGGCAGTTCAAAGGACCAGGAAGTACTCATACTGAGCCAATGTTTTTGGCTGCGGAAGTACAGAGCAGGAGGATTGGGTGTTTGGAGAAGTTTCTGCATCAGTGCAAACCTGACTTTTTGTTGCATTACAGCGGAGTGCAGAAATTAAAATCATTTGCAGCAAAAAAGAGAATTTCTAAAAAGGTATACCAAAACATTCTTATTGTTTGCATAGCATAAATAGCTGTAAATGATATATACAGTAATTTGTACAATGGTTAATAATATAGCAAATCTTTCAGAGAAAACATTTTAGGCCACAACTTTTCTGCATTATAACTGATTCAAATCACTTTTTGACTATCATTTATTCTGCTCTACTGTGTTGCAGGTGTGACACTTATATGAGACAATACAAACATATTAGAAACACAAACATTTAATGCATTCGATTCAGTGCAATTAATAATGCATAATTCAGAAGCAACTGCAGAAGTGTGACAGGATAAACAGGGTTAGTGTAGTTATTTTATTGCACGTCGCCAGTATGACAATAGTTATAGTTATATCCTTGATGTTTAATCACCGAAATCAGGATGTGGTGTTTGCAAATAATAATAATAGTAATAATAATAATAATAATAATAATAATAATAATAATAACAATAATAATAATGAGAGCTACCAACATGAAATCTACAAGCCTATATAATTACCAAACACCACACTACTCATGGCCATTGCAATAACTACCAATATAACTTACAGACACCAAAGTGCTAGCAATTTGGTTTTCACCGTTATCCATCAACAATGACAACAGCATTACTAATCTTCTTTCTCCTCATCTTCGGACTCTAACAGCGCCCCAGGTAGGCTGGTTTTCCTCTGCAGTTGTGGCGGTGGAGGCAGAGACCTTGTGCTGATAGAGGTTGTTGGTCGCGCCAACACAGATCGACCTGTGCATGGCCTTGAAGCTAATCCTCGGCTCACAGAAATTAATTCCTCTGCATTCCCGCCTTCAGCAGATGTGATATCAAGCTGTGGAGGCGCTGTCGAGTTATAGTTCGCAGGAGAATCCGCTGAGGAAACAGAGGGTGACCTGCTAGAAGTCGGTGTTGGCAGGAAATTGGACGAGTAGTCTGAGTGTGAAGACTCAGAATCTGAGGGTGAGGTTACAAGTCTTGAAGGCACTGGGTGGTAACTCTGCCCATTAGATGTTGAAGCCTGAGCATAATAGTCAGCCGAAGGTAGACTCTCGCTGCTGATGGTGAAGAGGCCAGATGACAGTGACGAGGGTGAAGACGCTGGAAAGGAGGCTGCTGACGGTGGAGGTTCTTCATGTCGTTGCTTCTTTCTCTTGGTGCGTCCAAAAATATTTTGTATCCTTCCTCTCGTAGTCCGTACGCGTTCCCGTCGTTCTTCCTCGGCTATCTCTGTTTCCAACTGAACTTCCTTTCTTTTCAAATCCAAAACCATCTCATAACTCGGTGGAGGCAGAGAGAGAAGTGGGTCATCACAGTGCTTTGGAACGGTGGATGAGGTGGAGGCAGCAGCACCACTGCTGCTGAGCTCGGTATCTTCTGTAAACACACAAGCAGTCATTATGCATCATGGCAAAGGATAATGTTACCAATGTTATTTCTGCCTGAAGTCCAGTCATTAGATGATATTTTGTTGATTAATAACAGGAGAGATACTTTAAAGTAAATTAAAAGAAATTAAATGATTAAGATATATAGAAAACAAATTACAAGGAAAACACAAGCATAGTTATCTCTGCATATACTATAAATATCCCCAGACTGATTACTTGCGAAAGCAACAAGGCAGTCAGCCTTCACAGCAATACTGGACTGTGACAGGAATCCTGAATTTGCTCAAGGAAAGCATATGAAATGTTTTAATGGTGAACAACATTCATTAAAAGGCTATCCCAAGATAGGTATGGGAAATCCTAAATACCTTAAAAACAGTATTGATACTGGAAGAAAATATATTTTATTTTTTTCATGCATATAAGTAATGCCAGTATATTTCATTTGTCTTGAAATATCTTTAAGAATGCACAATTAATGAGTTTCACATACTTAATATCTATAAATTATTATATTCCTCGAGAAAACAATAAACTCTTTTCCTAGTACAGTTTTCAGTGTAT